ATTTGAGTATATTATTTTTCAAAGTGTCAGAAATGGATAACAAAACTGCTATTTTCAATGACTACTTATTTTTGTCCAGCTTTAACATCTGTATCGGTATCGGTTATCGGCTACATGAGTTTTAAAATATCGGCATATCGGATATCGGCCAAAATCCCAATATCGTGCATCCCTAGTTAAAACTCTTTTATAGTTTATCGTTTTACTCTTCACTATTATGTTAGTCTTATACATTTTTCTAAGGTCCATATTTATGTGACCATTTTATTTCTATAATCTTTCTGCTGCTGTAAACACCTGAGATTCCCTATTGTGGGACAATAGACTGCTAAAATCTGATATTTGTAAAATAGAAAAGAAAATCAGAGTAAGGCTGTAGTACGAGGGTGAGAGGGACCTTAAGTAGTGCTCTAACAGCAATCGATAACACTTTTATACCTAAAAGTGCTAATTTAGCTTCATAATCTGGCATTAACGTCAATATCGGTCCAATTGGGAAAAACTGGGCCGATATTAACAAGATGTTTAATTCCGTTTGTGAAAATAAAGGGGGAGGGGTTTGGTCTTGTGACAGAGATGTAGCACAGGGTTATGGCTAAAAAGCTGAATTTGCTAGCTTCTAACCTAAATGTTGAGTAGCTTTGTTTGAGCCATCTGACCAGCAGTGTGCAGCAGCAGGTAGAGGGACAGAGTGTGTAGCTTTACCATGTTAAGTTCAGCCTCTGCTCATTCCTTTTTTGGCTCTTTTAAACAAGCTTTTATCCAGTGAACATCCCTTTGGTTTTGAAGCCAGAACTTTTTACAGCTTTGTTCCTGATCCTAATAGCTGCTCCATGTCTGATACTTCAGCTCTAAATCCAGAACAAACTGTTTCTCAAGGTTAAGAGAAAATAGAAGTAGATGCCTTTTATTATTCTTTTGATAATCGTGCCTTTTTTTTATTTTTTGCAGCTATTTGCATCTGTTGATTGTCTCTCGTCCGGTTATCTTTGTAGTGCGCTGTGAATGACGTGCAGCTGATGTCCCAGGCATCTGAATGGAGTTCCAGTCGTGTACCAGGCAACAGTTGTAGCTCCTTCAGCAGGATGCTGATGAGGACAAGTGGACTGCTGTTTCTGACTTTCTTCACCCAGGTTCTGAGGAGCCACTGCCGCCCCGCTCACCCAGATGAAGGTAAAGTTTGTTTTATTTTTATTTCTCTGTTTTTTGTTGTTTTTTTTTCACCTCATGTCCTACTTTCTGTATCAAACTATTTAAGAGTGACTTATCTCTACTGTTGCCTTGAGGAAGCAGTCCATTGATAAGCACTGCTTTGTTCTGGGTGCAGGAATGTAATCCCAACACGCCTTTGCAGAAGCTTGTTCTTTGTAGCGTTTGAGTTCCCTCACCACCCCCGTCTGCTCGGCCTAATGTGTGTGTTTTTCCCTGTTATGTTGAAGTGCACTTTGTTGCATTATCTATAGCTCAACTTTCTCATTTTTAACACATCATTAAATTGACATGATGCTTTTTTGCAGCTTGTTTGAAATTATTCTACAGCTACGCTAACCAGCAGTGTTCACATGTGAGGATTTACTGTAAAGAATTCAGCCTCCGTGAGTTGGGCTTTAAAGAGTGGAAAGAGGCGGTGTAATCAAATCCTTAAAAATGTGTTTGTTGGAAACTGTCCAGCAGCGTAATAGCTGCCTGAGCTTGTGGGTAGATGGGCTTGAATGTTTATGTTCTGCACTCGGAAGTGGAAACCAACAAAAGAATATGATAAAGTTGAGCATTATAATTGAAGTCATTAAGAAAACGGGTCTCCCATGAGCCCTGGGCCTTAAAATAAACTTGGCGTGGTTGTGTTGAAGGCAGCAGTGGGACAGGGAGGAGTAAATGACTCCCATGTGTAGCCGGAGGGCAGTTCCACTACCTAGCGGCCCCTGCTTCTCTGCTCCTTTTGTAATGAAAAGGTATCTGTTGTCACTAAGAGGAGCTAAGTGCCAAGGAACCATAAATTAGCATTTTTCTGTTAAGAAAATATGCTACTATAAACCGACCCTTTTCCTCCAGGATAGGTTTTCTAAAAGAGCATAAATTTTTACCCTGACAGTTTTCCACCTTACTCTTAACTGCGACCACCAAATGGTCAGGTACCGTCTATGTGTGTCAAACCTTTTTCTCACACTCCCCCTCTAATGTTTCTCTTGGAATCCTTCACCCCCCCATTCGATTCCCTGCTGGGTGACGAATGGCTTCAGCTGTTGACAGACAATCGCAGTGGAGGCATTTGGCTGCGTTACTTTGCTGGAGAAACAAAATAGTTCTGTGGAAATGCATGTTTTATGCAAGCTGCATTGTTTGCTTTCTTTTGTTGTGACGTTCCCATAAGAAAAGAGAAAATTCAGGTTTAGTTAAACAAATTGAATTCATTGACACCTTGACGGTGGAACATAACATCCAGCCCTCCTAAATTTCCTGCTTTCTGTTGTGAAATCCTCAACTCTATGCTGGACGTCTGAGCAAATAAAGCCGCTCTTAGTTTCTCAGAGCTGCTAAAGTTTTGACCATTTTTTTCCCCATACAGAAACAAAGGCGTATATCTTTTCTCATTCTCGTATAAATGGTCAACTAAAAGGAAGTATTTTAAAACCTGAAAAAACAACTAATTATAAGACTTCTGATAATAAATTAGGAATAAACCAATAACTTTGAAGGGTAACCTTCTTTCTGTTTGAGGTTGAGATAATGAGCAGTCTCTCTAACTTATCTCCACCTCAGCAACAACATTGATCAATTTGCTTACACTTTTTGCATCAAACACTTTTTATTTTTATTCTGCAGGGAACAATTGTCACGAAACACGGCTTATTCCAAGCACTGATAACCTGAAAGTATTAGTAGTAAAGTTTAACTTCAGTCCAATTGGTTCTTTTAGTATTGCTGGTAATTAAGGATGTACTCAAACAACAACAAATGACGTATGTTTTCTAAAGAAATGGTTTATTTGCTTATTTTTTTATTCAATCCATTAATTAACATCCCCTTAAGAATGATGTCTTCAAGTGTACTTTTACCCTCGTCCGGTGGAGAGTGGTTTGAAGCTGCATTGGTATTTGCAAGAGAAGTGTTGTATTTTCCGGACTAATACCCCATTTACGCTACCCTTGAAAAACCGTGCCGAGACCGGTCCGACTCAGTAACTGAGATAACTTATCGTGTGTAAATGGAAAGCAAACTGAACTGAACCGAGATAGACACAACCGAACCGAGATAACTGCAGACCAGTTCCAGAGGTGGGCTCAGCTCGGTCTTTCCCTGGCTCGGTTCTCTGATAACAAGAGCGCATGAGCAGAACGCATCATCTCCGTCTGGCTGCACGCCCCGATTCACACTCCATTCCAGTAGTTGGCGGTAATGCCCCTCGGGAAGTTGCTTGCCAACCAACACAAAACAGAAGAAGAACAACTAAGTTAAGCCGACTTTCTCAAGTAAATCCACCAAAGGTTGCCGTCTTCGCCTGACCCTCCGCAAACACTGAAGCACAGCAATAATAATCAAGCATAACTTTCTCAATGTTATGGGCGCCGCCATTTTGATTTGCTTGATTGCGTCCTTCTTCGTCTTCTTCTTCTTGTGTTTTATATCGGTTGGTAAATAACTTTTGATGCATTACCACCACCAACTGCTTGATTTCCTCATTCAATGCTGGCAGTAATACCGCAGATCGTCACTAGGAGGCGAGGAGTCGAGGAACCGAGATAGCGTGATGTGTAAACGGTCATCAGAACCAAGCTCGGCCTGGTTAACTGATCCGAACTCGGACCGATCTCGGCATGGATCGGTTTTTCAAGTGTAGTGTTAATGGGGGATATGAGTCGCTATGATTCGTTGATTTATAACTAGCATTCCCCTATTTGTGTAGCCCTAATTCAACCCAGTATTAAAGCAACTCCTCTGTCACACACATTATATAGTCCCTTCTTCTACAATAAAAACAATAATCCAACCGTTTTTGGCATTTACTTAATCATATTTAGTTACTTTAACACAATTGTTTCATGTTAGCAGGGTAGTACCGTAAACAATTGAGTTAAATAACTAAATATCATTAAGTAAATGCCAAAAGCAGTTGCATAATTGTTTTTCACTGTAATATCATTTATTGAAAAATGAAAAAAAAAAAAAAAAAAGCAAAACGTTTAGATAAAATTTTTCAGGAAAAGGAAAATGTACACCTTATTTAGATTTTGAGTTGTTGCATAAAAAACCCAAATATTTGAACAAGAATTAAAATAAGCAGACGCATTATCCCCAGCAGATGGTAACTACAAACTTATTGAATTTACATTTTATTCCAGTGCTTGAAAAGGTAAAACGGCTCTCTTAGAGCTGAATGTTAATCTAAAAAAGTTGGTGGTCTTAGTTTTACTACGTTTGTCAATTAAAGTCCTCATGTTTGATGTAAATGTAGTAAAACTAATTTGAATGATGCATTGACCCACGTAGCTCCCATGTGCTAATCCATGCCGATTGTCTGTGGCTCATTTGAGAATGAAAAGGTCCTCCACAGGAGTGCTTTGACCAAGAGCACTCTCTCTTTGAATGTTTTCACTGATTGCCATCGTGCATTGTCTTAGTTTTTGAGTGCTGATGGCGCCATCTTTTGTCCGGTGGGTCATCCCCTTCATCTCACCAACAGTCTTCACTCTGATGCAGCTTTGGCAACAGAAAAAGGCTGTAATGACTGTTTTCTGACGTTCAGCTGGTCTGGCTACTAGCTAGACGGTCCTAAAATCTGCCATCGCTCCCGATGAGGGCAGGAAATCCCAGAAGTCATTCACGCAGCATATTGCTTCCTATGTTGTAGCCAGAGAAAGTTCAACTGTCTGGTGCCGACCTTTCCTTTTCCTTCAGTAGACCCCCCCCCCCCCCCCCCATCCGTACTCTCTGTGCTGAAAAAATCCCTTTGTTTTTTTCTGATTAGTTTGATTAGAAATGGTGTCCATCAACTTTAACAGACGGTCGACTGCTTCTATGTTGGAACTTTCCAGGTGGGTTGTTCCTGAAACTGGTCTTTAATCCCTTTTAATCCTATCAGAGTTTCAGGAAGATTAAATAAGATGAAACATCCGCAGTTTAGATGAAGTATGAAAACTTGGCTCATCTCTGACAAGTTCATCATGAGCTTTTTTTCCCTTTTTTTTTTTAGCTCTAACTTAGCCAGGAAAACTGTTTGGTAGAGGTTGGGTACGTTGTGTTACAGTTTGCTCAGCCGTCTCCTAAGACCAAATAGACTTCCTTTAATGAAGTAAAGAAGCCGTTTTTTACAGCTTTATGGGTGTTTTATGAGACCTGGAGTTACAACTACCAGCTGGGAAATTGACACCGTCTTATCAGTGGCGTCTCCATTCAGAGAACAGAGACAAAATATAATCGACAACCATCAGAAGTGACATACTTTGTGTTTATGGTTATGTAAACGACGCTTATTTTATTTCAACCCACTTTGAGCTGTCGCCTCAATTTCAATGTTGCACAAACCATGGGAAACCTGAAACTTGATGGACACCATTTCTCTTCTCCTCCATGTAAATAATGGATCTGAAAGGAAATTAGTTTAAGCCATTGACTTCAGGGGTTTTGGACCTGAATTTGTATTTGTAGAAATGGAAAACAAAAATATCCCTTTTCTGTCCAACATTGGGGGAATTTGTCTTTTGGGTTTAACCCGGAAACTGCAGCAAAGGTCTATTTTAAGGAGCTGTTCAAACCGATGATCTTGTAGCCTCTCCAGGACACAAAAGCAAGATCACTGGATACGCCAAACCCATATTTGTACTTATTTATATGGTCAGTACATCTCTGCAGTGAGAGTGCAATAACCCAAGTCGACTGCTGTGTATTCTTCCGTTAGCTCTCTCCTGTGCAGATATTTTTATATCTAAAGGAAACATATTCCAGGACATTACAACTTTTTCCTTTTTTTTATGCTTTTTTGGTACTATTTACACTCTTTTTATATTGTTTGTCGGATTTTTAACTTTAATGGCATTTTGCTTGAACTCTTTGTACTCTATATAAGCTAGTGGAACCAGAATTTAAATGCAAGGCGTAATCCAAAGGGATAAATAAAGTCTAGTCCAAGTCTAAACCTAATTTGAAAAGAAGTGGGACTGCTCAAAATTTCAAAC